AAATTGGGGCATAGACCTGTACCAAGGTCATCGATTTAGCCTGTTGTAGCTTCAGTTGGAGGATTACCACGCTTCCGCTGACAAGTTTCCAATCGAGAATTCTATCGGCAAGGATGACTTCTACCAAAACGCGAACACCGCCGGAGCTCGAGTTGTGATATCGACGCTTGAGTAGAATAGCTTCCATACATTGAGGTTCGGGAGTCCAGAGCCTTGGCGTCTTGTTCACATGAGTCCAACAGTGTCGAGTTGGTACTTTATGGCCTCATCAACGAACTCTTGCTCTTTCCCTTTGAGTAAGGATATGTTCCAATTTCTGACTTTTAGCTCCCACTGGTGGTGTCGTTCTCACGGACCCTTTTGTGACGTGCTATTATGGCATCGCGCTGTCTGCTTCCTCCGTTCAGAATGGATAGCGACTCCGTTGCTGACTGGCATCTTCGTCGTCGTTGTTGTGCTGCTACGTCGCCGACTGTCAGAGGGCAATGAGTAGGTTCTGATCGCTGATTTTTTGCAGCCTGCCTCTGTTCCCCAACAGTCTGCGAGCCCCTTGGCATCCGGGCGACGAACGAGACGGTGTAATTTTCGATTCCATGAGTTGCAGGTGGCTAAACATTACGGAGACTTTGCCACGGTCTCCAACACTCCTCGTTTTTCAACCGGCCTTCGGACCGGCGACGGCGGAGTTTGGTGCTTCGAGCCAGAACGCTAACCCTTGTGCTAAAAATGTATGACATATCGATTATGTGGTGGAGCCTGAACTTGGGTAAAGTTGGTAATTGTACACTTCCATAAGACACCATTCGTTCCTGCTGATCTGCATACCCGTACCGTAGGAATTAAGTTATCGCTTAGGCGTTTCACACAGGAGACTAATTTGTCCTTTGGAGTGACAATAATTAAAATAACATCCGTTGTCTGCTTCTAGTGAACATGCTGAAAAGGTTATATAAATCCATCTAGCGCTACTAAAGATATAAAAAGATTTGCTGTACTCTGTTGTTTAGAATTCACGAATATATGGAATAGGCACCGACAGATGCTAAGTAAATGCCATTTAATTTACCATAATGGACAGTCAGTCGGTTAATCATGTTAGATCAAATTGACACGCGCTCTCTGAACCGTATGACCAAAATTGAATATCTGAAACTGTTTAAACATAATGCTTTAATCTGAATGGCAGTACTAAACAGAAGTAAAAAAGCTGTTGGTTGTCTCACTGACGGAGATCCACAGAGGAGCAGAGCAATCTAAATTTACAAGAAGATTCAGGACATAAACAAGCATGGCTCTCATTTATTGTTCATGATGAAGCAAATTTAAGAAACTACTGCAAAAGGCTTATTTGCTGTTTGGAGCAGCTTTGATTCAGTCAGCAAGCACGCACTATGAAATACACTGAAAGACACAGAACTCATCAGACTAATCACATCATGTCATACTATTCGACAATGGCGGAAATGATTCGCCACAAAACACTTATTTGACCATTTCTCCACATCACTAGGCGTAAAGTAAGGTCGCATTCACACGCTAACTTTAGTCAACCTAGGTATGGATTTAATTAAGCTACATTAGATCTAAACTACTCTGACGACGTCGTTCTTGAGAAGTGACACAACTGCTAGAGGCAGGCTACGATCAGCTGAATTAGACTAACGAAACAATGGCTTGAATACCACTTCTTTCACCAAGGATTTCACTCCATGGTGAAAGTTAATTGAAAACGTGCAAATTAAGGAGTTGCGAATCGAGAGGGGGTCATGATATTCCGATATGATCATATCTGAATGGGTAAGAGGTACGGCCATATGTAGGATTCATAATCTATGTAGATTCAGTCACAATCTAAGCTAATGAATGATTTTGACTTAACATCTTTCATTTAATAAACTGTTAATTTTCAAAATTTCCTGTCACAAAGTTTCATGAACCTGGAAAAATACGCGGTCGTTTTAATTGCCAAATTTTACAATTTATCACCACAGTGTATTCAAAAATGTCGCACCACCACCTGAACTTAGAAGCCTACCACGGGTCAATCACGCACGCTACGGTTCTATGATAATATTATTTCACTACATGAAGTCACAGAAGCTGT